TCTTAATCAATTGCATGTAGCTTTAGAAGAAGTGGGATTTGGCAAAGGGTAGTGCTCAATGTTTACTTTTCATACACTCCTCTCAATTTCCAGTCATCGGATCTAATGAATTAAAGAAAATCAATGGACAAAATTAACAAGGGTGTGTGAGAGGTAAATAGAGATGTGTGAATGACACTATCCAATCGCTTTATATATCTCATTCATCATATTGTTCGATGAATGACACTAGGGGAAAGTTAGGAATCAGAATATTTTTTATGCTCATGTGTTAGTAAACACGTAGAAAGTCACGAATCATATCTAATCATTTCAGTATGTATTCTATGTAAATAAACAAGCTAGAAATTTACAAATATAATTGGAAATCTAATATCCTTATGAAAACTACAAGTATCAATTGAAATCTAATATCCTTGACTTGAGAATCATTTCTCTTTAAACAATTGTTGTCGGACTCAAAATCTCAAGTGCAGGGGTGAATACATGATATTAGAGATAGATTAGCCACCATGACACTATATAATAACGGTTGTTATTTTTCTTTTTGGTTGAAGTTTGACAGAAGAATATGGCTGAAAAAGGTGGAGCAAAATCCCGAAACACAGGGATCAAGTGCAAGGGTCAAAGCCTAACCATACCATAGCTTAATTAACCTGGAGGATTTCAAGAAGCATATCACATGCTTGCTACACCAACATCACAAGATACACCAAAATCATCAAGGTGGAAAAACTGCCTCTGCTCCCCAACCACTCATGCTGGCTCATTCCGCTGCAGACACCACCGAACTTCAAGTATCGGCTTGGGCCTCAACCGTGTAGGGGCCTCCGTCGGCTCCAACCTCTCGGAGCTTGCGAAAAGTACAGTCTAATCGCCTTCAACTCTCAGTCTCTGCTCAGTAACTTATGGAAAAATGTTGAGTTGAGTGAATACATGTGGCATGCATGCATGTAGCTTCTTCAGCATAAGAATAATACTATCAACACCAAAACTATAGTAAGATCCTGATGAATTTTGGGTTTCTGAAATTTTGATAGAACTTTTGAGGTTGTAGTATTATTTATTGATTATTAACATATTAAGAAGCTTCATTCAAATTGTTTTTGTTTAGTTACGAAACAGCACATGCATGTATTGTTTCCTTGTTTTCGTAATAACAATGTTGAGAGATGAGGATTGGGACTCTGAAACTTTGGATTCGAGGATAAATGCTCTTACTTAACTACGTACCGAAGTTGTAAGCCATGTTATTTTCACTGTCTTGACTCTTGATCTTCTAATTAACCACTAAATGACCAGCATCAACAAAATCTTTAATCTATGATAGGCCTAACGTTCAACCACAACAATTTTTGGGAAGGAGAAAAGAACTTACACATATTTGATTGAGAATTCATTCTCCGTTAAGGTGAAACTATTTTAGTCATGTATATATAAATCACGGTTTAGTACTATTATTGTCAATTGAATGGCACTCTACCATTAATCTTCGATTAAAATTTTGTAATCATTCTATTAGTAGGCCAAAATAAAGAAAACCGTCCAATTACTGTCTGCCCTTCCATCATCTTTCACAAAAAAAGAAAAAAAAGAAAAAAAAGAAAAAAGCAAGAACCAGGGGAATATACAAAAGATTAATCAAGTTCAAACATAGTTCAAGAAAATTTAATCACTTAATGATACATGACCAAGAACCCCATAATACAAAGGAGAATACTGAAAGTCATCGGTCTTCGAAGGCTTCGCACAAAAGAAAAATACGAGAACGAGCACAATAGAGGAAGCAGCAGCCAGACCTAGCACAAGAAACCAATTCTCCATTGCCGCCTTGAGCCGAGAAACTCCACCAGAATTAACATCCTTCGCAACCACGTCGTACTGTGGATACCTTAGGGTTTGGAAAGCCGGATCAAAGAAGTCCTCGACCCCGTGAACAAGCAGTCGTCCATTGTTATAGAGATCCCACTCTGTAACTTTGACTAGGTTAAGAGAAGCATATCCATGAGTGCTGGCCGGTAGGGAAGTAACAACGAGAGGATGACCCGGCAGAAGAGTATCAACCTTGGAACCGTGACGAAAAGAGGCCTCTATAGAATCTTTGTCCATCTTGAATGGCACAGCATGGTACTTGAGGAGCGTCAACGGAGGCTGCGGGTACTTCGAGTTAAAGAAAGCTTTGTCTTGTGGGCAAAATAGGGTAAGAGTGGCGTTAGGGTTTATAGCATCAAGAACCATGTCTAGGGTAAGTGACATGGCATGATACCCTTTGTCGGAGAGTACGGCTGACACCAAACCGACGTTGATCATCCCCGATGGCTCATGTTTCTTTGTTTCTTCGTAGGGTTGGACAGCTTCAGCTTGCATGGTGTTGGTATTACAGAGAAGGGAGGTGAGAAGAAGAACAAGAAGAAAACGGAGTGCAATCTTGGGATCCATGGGAGAAGAGAGCTAGGTGTATTTAGCTATCTAATTGCTTTAAACAAGAGAGAGTTCGATGAAACAAAACATGAGGCAGGAGCACGTATATATAGTACTTAGCCAGTTTCTTAATCCTACCCTAATTCTAATTGATTTCCAAATCGTAAACGGATTCATTTTTCTTGCTGGAGATATATAACAAAATTATAAGGGATATTTTAGATGCGGTCCCTAATCCTTAACATTCTTTTATTAAAACCTTAATAGTATTCAAAGTTTGATTAAGGTCCCTTGACTTTGTACACCTCATTATATTACTATTAATATTTTTATTTTTATAGTTTTGACATTAATTGTTTGATATTTTATGAGATTTATAATCCTATAAATTTAAAATCTCTCATTATAATACTATTAGAAACGGTTACAATAAAAAAAATCAAATATTTTGATTGAATAAATGGATAAAAAAATATGTAAAAATAAGAAATAATAAATGGCAAAAGAATGTATCCATAGTGTTAAAAATTTGGTACATTTCAAATATAATAAAGTGGTACATTAATAAAGAAGAATGGCTACATTAGAAATAAATTAGGGTAGAGATAAAAGATTAAAAATTATGAATACATATGAATTTTTAAAAATATAGGCGCTAAAAGAAATTAATACATGGGTACAAAATAAAACTAAAAAGAAAATACTACAAATTAAAAAAAAAACTGTTGCAAATTAAAAGTGGGTACAAACTAAAAATATAATTATATGATACAAAGTTTAGGCATAAAACATAAATATACCATATGTTATTTTTCTATCATTGATTAAATATACAATGTCACGTGATAGTATACATGTCACATCCCGGCCCGGGGCAGATCACTTCCCGGGCCCGCTCCACCACCGTAGCACGATATTGTCCGCTTTGGGCCCCGACCACGCCCTCACGGTTTTGTTTCTGGGAACTCACGAGCAACTTCCCAATGGATCACCTATCCTGGGAGTGCTCTGGCCTCCTTCTCGCTTAATTTCAGAGTTCCGACGGAACGCAAAGCCAGTGAGCTCCCAAAAGGCCTCGTGCTAGGTAGGGATGGGAATACACATTTAAGGATCGCTCCCCTAGGCGATGTGGGATGTTACAATCCACCCCCTTAGGGGCCCGACGTCCTCGTCGGCACACTCGCGGGCAGGGTCAGGCTCTGATACCAATTGTCACATCCCCGCCCGGGGTGGATCACTTCCCGGGCCTGCTCCACCACCGTAGCACGATATTGTCCGCTTTGGGCCCCGACCACGCCCTCACGGTTTTGTTTCTAGGAACTCACGAGCAACTTCCCAGTGGGTCACCCATCCTGGGAGTGCTCTGGCCTCATTCTCGCTTAACTTCGGAGTTCCGACGAAACCCGAAACCAGTGAGCTCCCAAAAGGCCTCGTGCTAGGTAAGGATGAGAATACACATTTAAGGATCGCTCCCTGGGCGATGTGGGATGTTACAATACACATGGGTACAAACACAAATAAAACTTTAAAAAATATGGGCACAAAAAGAAACTAATATATGGGTACAAATTAAAAATGAAAAGAAAATTGGTACAAATTAAAAAATATTTGCAAATTAAAAATAGGTACAAACTAAAAATAAAAATATATGATAAAAAATTTAGCCATAAATATAAATATACTAATTGTAACATTTTTAACATTAAAGGAATATATTTAAAAATATAAATATTTTATTATTCAAATAATTAATGATGTTATTAATACCCAAGGACCTTGATAAAAAAATTGAAAATGAATGAGATTTGAATTAATGGAGTAACAAAAACAAGAATGTGAACCTAATTTTTCCAGGCTCTTGGTGGTTTTCAATTTTTTTTTGGTTTTTGGGCCAAATTATAATGTCAACACCCGAACAAACCGTTTCAATTTGATAAAATCCTTCAAGTTCATCCGCAATCACATGGAATCCAAATATGATAACAACCAAGTAGGTCATATTTTTCCAAACAACATTACGGATTAGACAACTTACATGTAACGGATACACCGTCACTGTGGTGTTCTGAGTAAATAACACAAGACTATGTAAAGAGATACTTACACACAATTATGCATTATTGGATACTTTAAGGTACAATATCCAATTTCCTAAAACTCGTTACATCAACATGTTATTACACTTAAATAAGTAATGCAACAGAGATGATTTTTTATACCACATATGACATGATAAATGATGCTTGCAATTGACATTCAATAAAATAAATTCATTAACTTATACGATATGTACAAAATATAAATTCAACTAGTAATACACCGCAGAGTTGCCATAGTCAAAATTTTAGACCACTCACAAATGCCTATGACATCAAAGAAACGTGGAAAATTCTTCAACTTGATGGATTTAAGATTGGATTTTATATTGAAAGAACAAACGTGGAAGTCAATAAAAGTGGGCCTATAGGCCCTTTTGTTTTGCAGGCCGAATTTAAGATATGGGCAAAGATTAGGCCCAGTCCAGCTGTCCAAAGGAGAGTATAACTAAACGACACCGTGTCGGTCGTTATTTCACCGCCTTCGATTGGCTTCCGCAGCGAAACCAACATACAGCCCCAACCTCCACCTCCACCTCCACCTCCACAAAACATCAAAATCTCCTCCTTCAGTTTCGGAGTTGCGGGCAATTTAGGGTTAGGGTTTTCTGCTGTTTCTGGGGTCCAAAGGAGGAGTCTTTATCCGGTAAGGAGATATTGGGTTCTGATAAACTTCACTTGAAAAGTAATTAAATATCGAAAATTTGGAATTATAGTTCATATTTTGAGCCTGAATTCATGAAAACAAACATAACCCGTTATTCATTAGCGATTAATGATCTGATTAATTTTTTTTTTAATCTTAATAAATAGCATGTAGCTTTAGGAGAAGTGGGGTTTGGCAAATTGGGCAGCACCCAAGTTCTAATGCCCGTTTTCCGTAAATTAGAGTAGTTTGGAATATCGTCTTGTCAAAACAAAATAGTATAATACTTATATGTATGCATTTCTCTAGTAACATGTGCTGCTATGTATGTATGTATGTAGGTAGGTATTTATGTAGTGTTTATATTCGTAATGTGAACAGAGTTGGTTTTTGTTTTCTCAGGTAATCTTCATCACTAATTAAGATGCCAATGTTGACTGGTGCAAGTGCAATCGTGAACTCGCCTCCATTGCCAGCAGGTACTTATGAGTATCCATTCCTATGTTTCTGTGGTTTTGAAGGTTCACAGATTCCGTTATTTGATTTTCCCATCGATTTTGATTACCCTTTATGACTTCGGATTTTGCAAGAAAAGATTCCTGTCGAAGAACTTCCATAACTGTGTTTGTTGCAATTTTGTTTTACTGAAATTTTCAGTTTGATGATATGGATTGGGTTTCTAAGAATGGCGTGTGATTCTTATGATGTTTGGTTGTATATGGTGAAAACTGTAGGTCAGTGCCGTGGACAATTTAAGCTTTCTAGCTGTGGACCGAAAAAAGTACATGTTGATGGAAAAATGGTGCATCTTAAGATAGGAGCGGTGGGGCTTGGTGCACAGTTTCCACTCGAGAGAAGAAATCCAGTCACGGTTTCAAATCGAAGGCAGTCTGCTTCTGTGATATGTGCTAGTGCCTTGGTTAGTTTGTTATTTCGTATAAAGTTTCAGTTTTTACCTTGCCTTTACATGGTGATAAAATTTGAATTGTTGCATGCATGCCGGATCACTATTTTATACTCTTCCCTAGCAATTCGAGATAATTGAAGCATTTATATCCTGTGAATTCATTGATTTGAACCCTGAGAATGGTGACTTTGTAGCATTAACTGATGCATTTCGTACCTTTTCGTAAAAGTTGGTGAGGCAAGATACCGGCATGGGTTTTTAAAATTCTTTCACTTGAGTTATTGAGTTCAAATATCTGGAATTAATCAATTGGGATCCTGGTTCAGTTATTTGTCCAGTTTTGCGGCTTCTAAATTTTGCATTTTTGGTGTGCATGACCCTTAGATAAGCACCTTGAAATTGTTTTTACGTAGATGTTTGAAGCGTTATTCAAATGATGGAGTCTACGTTTTGTTCTAGCTTCTTTTTTATAGTTGTTCGTTTCTTCCTTCGGAATTGATCCCTGTCTTCCTCTTTCAAGGAACAAAAAGGGAAAGAAATCTTGATTTTGCTATTTTATTTTGCAGAATGCCAGATGTGGTGCAGAGCAAACGCAGACTGTTACACGTGAGGCTCCAACAATTACACATCTCCCTGGTAAGAGCCATTATTTTGTATTAATCTCTTGTTAGTGCCGAGGGAAAAAATCGTTTTGAAACATTAGAGATGAGTGTTTGCAGGACGCAAATGTAATCTCTCGCAGCCTTTGATTCGATAGTCATTTAGAATTCACGTAGAAATGTGACTGTTTCTCTGCCTGAAATTCTGGAATAATGTCAGAAATCATCTAACAGTTGAGTGAAACTGTAGGCAAGGAGAAGTCCCCACTGCTTGATGATGGTGGGAGTGGCTTCCCTCCTCGTGACGATGGTGATGGCGGTGGCGGTGGAGGTGGCGGTGGAGGCAACTTTTCCGGAGGCTTTGCCTTTTTCGGCTTTCTTCTTTTCCTAAGCTTCTTAAAGGATAAAGAAAGTGAGGGTTCCTATCGAGAGAATAGGAGAAGGTGATGGAATTTGAGAGGATGTATTATGGAGATTTTGCATTGTATTTTTCTGTGCCAATGAATAATAATTGACTTTTATTCTTGATAAACCAAATGGTTTTCAAATGAATGCTAATTCGAGTATTTTTGCAGTTTTTCTCTAGAATTATTTTTTTGACAAACGATAGTGTTAGCGAGGTAAATGGTTAAATGTTAGTGGAGAAGGGAATTGATGAGAATTGAACATGCACGAAAGTGCGTAGGCATTGTTTTCCGCTACTACAGTAAAATGCTATTTGTGTACCTTCACCTTACATTAAGCGATGAAAATAAGATATTACAACCGCATGCAACTTTTTTTAAACAGGAATTTAGATATAATATGGATCAAATATAGTTGGAGGAAAATTAGCTATTTATTCTGAGGGAAAATGACCAGAACAAAAGTTTAAGGTGCAAATTAACAATGGACTACAAGGTCAATCAGAAAAAGAGTGACTCCAAGCCAACAAAGCTTCTTACTTTGCGAGAATCGTATGAAATGTTTGTCAACCTTACTCTTTTGGTTCGATTCATAATAAAAACCTACTTGCAAAGCAAGAGTAAAATTATGTACGATAGACGACATCTCAACCCTTACAAAGCAGAAAATCTTGTTGGCTTGGAAAATTAATGAAATCTTGAAAATTAATAAATTCTTGGCCCGATCGGTTCGCCTAGCCAAATTTGGAGAATAAATTGGCAAGACGTAATTTCAAAATTGTTATTGTACGGCAGAACGTAAGAGTTACAGTTACCTAATCCAACCCTCCTCCTAGAGGACAAAATGCAATAACAAGTCGCTACAATTAATCCTATCTACTTAAAAATCTCTCAAAATTTTGAGGACTCATTTTGTTGGTTTCGTCCATGTAGTTTCCGATGTCACGGTATTTCCATAGTAAACCTTCTTTGAGGATTCGTCCCAGTAGGCCTGAACAAGTCGAAAAGATAAAAAATATCAGATTTTGAACAAGTAACTCCGCTCCGTCTAAGCCAGAGAAAATTATTTGCTTCGCATTTAACGGATTAAACAACAAGCACATAATCTAGAAAGCGAGTAAAGAATCGATGTTTAGGTTCCTTGTTAATGGGTTTCAATGCGACCAGGATCAACTTAAACAGAAATGTCAGTGAGACATACGTGCCATCCGGGTGGGAGACCGTTTGATTGTTCGGTCATATCAGGCTGCTGGTTCCCATCAGTAGGAGCCGCAGATGTAGATGCTGCTGCGGTTTTTGCAGCTTCACGGTCTAATTGAGCTTTTCTTCGCTTCACTTTCTCACGCCTGCAGGAAACAGAACCATCAAATCAGAAAAAAGTTGATGTAACATGGAAGTTGTGTCTAGAGACATGGTGAAAGTGACCAAGTCACCCTGAAAAAATAATGAATATATAAGCAAACTTTGGAGTTACAGTAATGCGTAAACATAAGATTTTGGGTTACCCTACCAATCGCCACCCAGAGGCTGAAAATTGGCATTATCTTTGGCCTCTCCACTAGTAATTTGTTGTGCGTACCATTCCTGCAACAATGGAACGTAAGAAACCAGAAGATGCCAAAGCACAGTAAAACTGTACAAATAAAGTTCAGCAAACCTCTATTCCCCTTTGTCGCTTCCTCTCTAACGACTCGTATGCATTTTCAGGTTCCTCCTCGTCTTCAAGCAACTCCTCTTTTGCTGCTTTCCACTGGTTAAATTGACAACAAAATTAGGGGATCCATAATTATATGATGCAAGGATATGAAAAAATTAGACAAAAACATACCTTGTCTACTAAACTGGAGACTTTCTTATTAGACCTCAAAGAGGAAGCAACTGCACTTGTTCGCTTTTTCGTTCGTGGAACTGATAAGAGAAAAGGAAAGTAATGAGTATGCTTATAATCATATGCAAGTCACTAAGACCTGTCATAGATTAATTCCACCACACACGTGAAGTAGGTTGCCATAGAAGAATGTCATTCAAAAAAATTACCCAATTTAATTAGGTTACAAAAGCTTTACCTTTAGATTGAACCTTGGTAGCCACTGATGTGGCAGAAATAGATGCGGCAATAGGAACAGAATTAGTTGATGGCAAGGAAACAGTTGCAGGTGCTTGAACTGTGGCTGTGGTAGAAGGAACCTCGATAGATCCCCCATCATTCCCACTATCAACAGAAAAACGCTCAGTATTCACATTTGAAGCGCTGCTGCCTGCTCCTGAATAGGAGTTGACGGATCCAGTCTGATCAGATGCCGGGTTTTCATAGCTTAGAGGAGCAGATTCGCTGTGAAATTGCAAGGGCTCTACACTACTGACTACAGGAGCAGCAGGTCCTGTGCCATCCTGAAGCCCATAATATGTGACAGACTCGACAGGGTTAACTGCAACCTGAGCAGTTTCCATGTAGGTGATAGGAACTGCACCATAGTAAAGTGGTGCCTGGGGTATAACTACTTGGGATCCTTCAGGATGTCCATAAAAATTAGTGTTAGGAGCTTCAGTGGCGGTATGCCCGTAATACCCAAAACTGGAAGCTGGATATGAATAATTGTATTGCTCTGCATAAGGAGGTTGCGTTGTCTCAGGGTAAGATGGATGAGAAGAATATGGGGGCTCAGGTGGGGGCTCATCAGGTGGGGGCGGAGGAATTTCTTCATTATCAGGTGGTGGTGGGGGAATCCATTCCTCATCTGGGGGAGGTGGAATGGTGAACGTATCCTCTGACACTAAAGATGTGTATATTGAAGGTGGACTTGGATGAATTGGCTGCTCCGGTAGAGCAAACTCCTTGGAATTCAATGCATATTCAATAGTTGTATCTCCTGCATAGTTTGACTCTTCAACTTCCATGTCCACATCCATGTCAACCTCTTCCCCACCACAAAACTCATTTTTGGTAGTCGACTCATAGGGAACTACCACCTCATTGACTTGTTCACTTGCGCCACTATCCATATGTCTAGTAGGAGAGCCAGACGGAGACACATGCTCAGCATTTGCACCAGAATTTTTAACATCTTGAACTTTAGAAACTATCGCTGATGTATCAATAATAGGAGTAACATGACGATCATCCAGATTACCAACTTGATCTACTTCAGTTTTATACCCCTCTTTTTCCTGAAAATTGTTTTTAGCCTGGGAGAAAGATGGATGGGTTGCCTCAGTATCATTCAACTGTAGAGATTTAACAATCTTGGACGTTTCATCGTTAAGAGCACTCTCTAGTTGTTTAAGCTGTCTTTCAGAGTGCATCCAAAATGGAAGCAGAGATGAACCATGAGATAAAAGAGACTTAATATCAAATAGCCTTATCTCAACTTCCATAGTGTACTTTGTGATCCAGTTGAGACCTGGCAGCGGGTCCTTCGACCTGAAACGTATAGACTAATTTATTAAACATCTTGAAGAAAAGAACAAAAACAAAGGGAAACATACAAATAAATCTAAATGAATGAGCAAATAAATAAATTTAAGAAAGCAGGATGCTTGTGTTGTGGGAGGGTTGGGGAAAGAATGGCAAAACATGTCGTACCCTTGCAGTGACTTCAATCTTCCTAATAATGCCTCACAATGTTTGATAAGACCAGAGGAGAGAGCAATCGCTGATTCACAATCTTCATTAGCTATTGTATCGTGAGTGGCTCCTTTATTGAATTCTAATTTCCACTTGTCAATTTGTGACCCATGCCCGTGCGATTCTATTCCATGAGGGACCATATTGGCATCCCCTTCAATTGTGACAGAATTAGAGAAACCATTTAACTTCACATCAGAAGCTAAGTTAGACTCTTCTGCACCACCAGTAGCATTATCTGTTGTTCCAACAGTAGTAGGCATTTCCTGGTCACTTAACTTCGTTTCCTGGGCCAAAACATCAGGGACGTCCCATGAAGTTTCCCCAGTTTCAGTATTCCAGTAATAATAGCTATTACTCTCTTCATGCATCACAATCTTCCAACCTGAACTAACATCTCCAATGACTTGTACGCTTGAGGTTTCAGGAACAGAGATCTGTTGCTTCAAATCCGATTCTGTACGTAAATCACTAGAGACGATATTATCATTCTCTCTTTTATCACTGTGGTCCATGTTCTGCTCACAATCTTGCTGGGCAGAATCTGCATTACCTCCCTGTTTCTCAACCTTCTGAGAAGCAATGTCTTCACTAGCTTTGGCATCCAAATGCTGACAAGATTCACCAAGCAAACTCTTAACCTGAAAGAGACAAAGCATTTAGCATGTGAAGTAAATACAAAAAAGAAAGGCATGCAAGGTGAACAGAATTTACTTTTAATACCTAGCTTGAGCATTACTGCTTAAAGAGAAACCCAACTTAGCACGTCTTGACATCTAAACCCTAGAATAGCATAAGTAAATTTATTTAATTACCTCATCGCTTTTGTCAGGCGAGGAATTTTCTGCAGAAACATCGCTATGATTTGAATCATCATCCAAATCGTCATCACTATATTGCCCAAGTAACAGCAGTGGATTTTGTAAATTCTGACCTGCAGACATAATAATACTAGCATGTCAAACACTATCCAATCCATCATATTATCTACTTACTAATCTTTTAATGGGATATGTTATCTACATAGTAATCACGAACATATCAGCACCTAAACAAACAAATGGGCGGGAGTATTAATGTAGAACGGAAGTAAGAGCAACTAAAATTGAGGAGACAACAGTTGTCTAAGTATATAGATTTGAATTGAGAAGATTAGTATCTCTTCATTGCAGCCACCTGTTCACAAGGAAGAAAAATGTCAGCGAGTACAATGCAAAATAAAGCCAGGACATACGAACCGATAGAAAAAAATCCCAGCCGAACTCTCCAAAATGCTTTGCGGCTGCCAAAAAGGGCATAACGAATGGGAGTGACTCATAATTGCACTGTGGCAGGGCCCGACATGATCTGACAACGAATGTTCTGAACGTGACAACAGCCACCCTACAGTCTGAAAACAAAATCTCGAGGGGGGAGGAAAATAACATAACATGTCTTGCACATATAGTATCCAAATTCCACCGAACAACATAATGTTGAGCACACATGTCCTCTCTACAAAGTCCTTTTTGAAGAAAACTGACGGAACCCACCTGAAGATGATGGTGAATTGGGTACCCCAGCATGGTCCTTGGATTTAGTATCTTCTCCATGTTCATCGTGTTCTGCAGAGCCACCCACATCTCCTATAAAAGCAAAACAAAGGTCCTCAACATAACACCCCAAAATCCATATAAACTACGCACCAACCATCTATATTACCCAATCCGTAACACAAGATGCCACCTTTACAAAAAAATAATGTCTTAACGATACTAAGAAAGAACCTTTTGGGACTGCTAGGTGCTATTCCAGTAAGCACTTGACTTTTGAATAAAAACTTCGACATGCTTATAAGAAAAGCACTTCTACTCACTACACAAGCAGAATATCTAAATTGTACAGTAAGAGACCTTAATCCACCATTACTCTAAAAGAAACCTCTTTCCTGTCAAAATTGCATAAAATTTCACTTCAACAATTCAGCTCAATTTTCTGACAACCTAATCAATATATAACAAGATGAACAGAAAGCCATTAAAAACGAAACACATACAATTAACCAGGAAAAACAAATACATAAAAAAAAATCCTAAACAGGGTAATGGGTAATCTCAATAATTCAAGTTATCTCATACACAAATGCATGCATGTAAGCACACAAGCACAAATATATAAATATATAAATATACATACATATATATATAGAGAGAGAGGGGGAGAGAGAGAGAGAGAGTACCGGAGGGTTCCGCGAAGAGATCGAGCTTGACTCTGCGACCAGCGTTGGTCTTAGCTGCAAGACGACGCTCTTTTCTCTTCCCCATCGATTACAACAGATTAACAGCTCGAGCTTCCTTCAGATTTTGCCCAAATTCCCAAAAGTTTTGAACTTTAGCTTGATTTTTCGGAGGATTTGATTGCGTTGCGAGGGAGACCGACCGTCGAGTGTGGAGGCTTTTTTATTGCATTTCTGTCTAAGATACTCATATCCTACCATTTCATCGTATACGGTGAAAAATTATTTTAAATAAAATTGTTAATAAAAATTAACCGCATAATAAAAGTACGGATAGAATGTGAGCATCCTAATAAGATGATTCGAAGAACATATCCTCATCCGTTTAAGTCGATCCACAAGGCCCAATTGACTAAAAATTAAAGTGCTAATCTGCAAAGGCCCAATTAACTGAAAATTTTAAAAAAATAATGACGTGTAACTTAAATAAGTTGAAATCAAATCCTAAAAAGTAAACGTGTTTAGTCTAAAAATATAAGGGAACTTTAACGAAAAGCACCCGGTACTGTTCACTTTAACGAAAAACCACATTTTTACACTAAAAAGTCAATTCTGGTACTATTCACTTTACCCTTTATTTTGTCCTTATCATTAAAACTCAAAGTTTTCAAGCCCTTTTCATTAGTTTTCCTAAAATATAAAAGATAGGTGTGGAATCTAATTTCCTCTTATATTATATTACTAGACTTTGCATGATTTTTCAGTTTAGAAAACTACTGAAGAAAGAATGGAGTAGAATTTTCTTCCTTCTTAATCTCTATCTCCTTATTTCCTCTCTATTTAAACGATTATGATTACGCAATGTTTACATCTCATTTTGAATTTTTTATATAAAGAATAAGATAAAAAGAAGAGTGTGAGATGAGGGGATGGAAGAAGATGGTAATAGGAGGGAAGATAATCCTACTACAGAAAGAAAAATAGAATTCATGACCTCAAAAGTTGGAGTGAATATTCTTAATCATTTGAGTTTCAAATTTTTGACTTTTTGTATAGAATTTTTTTTTAAGAAAACTAATGAAAATGACTTGAAAACTTTGAGTTTTAATGATATGAACAAAATAAAGGGTAAAGTGAATAGTTGACTTTTTAGTGTAAAAATGTGGTTTTTCGTTAAAGTGAACAGTACTGGGTTCTTTTCGTTAAAGTTCCTTTTTTTTTTCATATTTTTTAGTCATGTTAGACAAGGGAAGATTTTATTTTAATTAAGTATGAGTTTTTGAGTATTTAGGTTTTGCAAAGGAGTGCAGAACCATAAAATACTATTTGCTTGCAAAACCATAAAATACTATTTGCTCGCCCAACCATATTTCATCAGGTCAAGTAAGTTTACTTGACGAAAATATACGTTTGTCGGGCAAAGTTGGTCACTATTTAAGGTTTTGTCAAATGCTTTGCATGACGAAAAATTTTTGCAGGACAAGATAACATTCGTTGGGCAGAGTTTTGGCGTTGAGAAAAAAATGGCGCTTATTGTGTAAAGGTTTGCTCAAAGAAAATTTAGCTCGTCAACTTAACTACCTTTGTCCGATGATATATTTCGTTGGATCCCATTAGTGCTAAAACATACTCTAATTGTCACGTGAACAGAGCTAAATTCTCAACAGCTGAACGAGACGGTAAATTGTGCACTCAAAACAGTGGAGTTTTTTTCCTTGGGGATAAATGTGAATAGGTTTTTTTTGGCAACTTTTAAGTGTGATTCATTGTTATACACAAACCGCATGGAAGTTATGATGTTCAAGTGTCATTTGTATGATACAAACTCAAACAATCGAGATATGTACTTGTTATCTGTCAACACAAACACCCCGTGGTTTGAGGATGATCCCTACATCCTCGTCAATACAACAAAACAAGTATTCTACATTGATGATCCAAAGGCGATGAGTGGTTGGAAAGTAGTCCAATTCATAAAACATACAAATATTTGGGACTTGCCATACCCACAACAAAATGAGGATGAGTATACCGATTATGACCAAAATGTTCACCAAAAGGATTCATCTAAACACACGTAAAATTCCAAAACAAAAGAAAAAGGAGTTCTTTTGGAATGACTAGTGAATAATAATTTTGTTGTTGCCAATTGCCATGGCTAATGCAGAAAGAATCCTTTGTTTTAAACTAATTAAACCCTAATTCTACCCCTTTCTTGTAACTATAATCGAGTCGACTTCAATTGCTCCCTTCAAATTGACCGTCGGCATATCCTCATGATAAAAGCCTGCCCCTTTCATATATGCCTCCTCAAAACTACAGCCTATCAAACTTGCCCCGCGTAAATTTGCACCTTGAAGACCAGCACCCACAAAAGAAGCTCCAGCAAGATCTGCATCACACATACATGATCCTTTCAACTCCGCATTGTCGAAGATGGCACCCTCAGCATATGCCCCCGTAAACTTTGCATCCGATAAATTTGCATCGGAGAATATTGTGTTTCTCACATATGCATTGGTGAAGTCCATACCTGACAGGTCCAGGCAAGAAAGATCAAGGCCAGAAAGATCAAGACCTTGAAGGTTTTTCAAGTACTTGTCGATAACACCGGCACGAGTTAAATCTGGACAAGGCTTGTCCTCTTCACCTTTGTTCTTATTTAGAACATCTTGTACTCCATCCATTAACCCAACTAGCTGATAGTATTCTGCTTCTCTCAGAAAGTTCTTCATATACAGAATCTTCTAATAAGGTAGGGACTTTGCCGTCTCTTAACCAGTTAAGAATGTTTCTAAATTACAGAATTCTTCATATACAGAATCTTCTAATAAGGTAGGGACTTTGCCGTCTCTTAACCAGTTAAGAATGTGCCTAAATTGTTTTCCATCCCCGTCGATAAAAACAGCTCCATTCTCGTCTTGCTGCAAGTTGTGACGACCGCTAAACATTGCAGCTAGCCTCGAATAAGGCTCGCAATTAGTGAAAGTACCAATGGTGGTCCGGAATATTTTTCCTCCGACGTCCAAGCGAACTACAGAGGAGGTATTAGGGTTTTCTTCGGTCGACATTGCTTCAAAAAATTGGGAAACAAATTGAGGAACGAGTTTGTAATATTGTAGTGCAACGCTCAAGCCTAGCTAATGAGGAGAATAACGAATACTAGGGTTTGTATATATAGCCAACAAAACGCTAGCTGTATAGGAAAAGGAAATAGAATTCCTAATTTAGGTATAAATGGTGGATCCCTTAGGGAGTACGATTTTCTCGGCCCAAATCTCTTTCCCTTTTCTCCCTATCCTTTCACTGTCTTCTTTGTCTTTTTCTCTCTATGAAAAAGTCAATACAAGATATTAGCATGGCTTAAAAGTCTCCCCCTAGAACAGATGTGACCCAATAAGACTAAGCTACATGTGCCAATGTATTTGATGCTAAATGTCCACTATGTGTTAACATCAACAATTAGAAAATATTAAGTTTAGAGAAGAAATTAAGAATTTGAATTTTTTGGGTTGCTATGATTGAGTTGCAGAGATGAAACAAGAAAAAAACTAATTAGCCTAGTACCCAAAACAAACCCACATAATGGGGTTAATAGAATTAACAAAACGTGGAGTGAACTTTGAGTTATGGGGTAGAGGGGAATCAAAATTAAATTCGAGGTAGCAAAGTTGAGTGAATTTTGAGTTTCAGGAGTAAAATGATAATTTTGTATTTACATAGGATAAAGTAAGATTAAAATCAGTTTTGGAAAGCATGGCTAAAAATAAAAATAGAAAAAGTTTGAGTTTTATAGGGTAGAGAAGAATCAATATCGAATTTCAGTTAGCAAAGTTAAGCGAATTTTGAGTTCAATAGTAAAATGACGATTTTTTATTTACATAGGATAAAGTAAGATTAAAATCAGTTCCGGAAAGCATGGCAAAAAATAAAAGTAGAAAGAGTTTTGTTTTAAAAAAAAAAAAAAGATCAAAAACGCCCACCGTGGGGCTCGAACCCACGACCACAAGGTTAAGAGCCTTGCGCTCTACCAACTGAGCTAGACGGGCAATTGTTAATCACCGTAGCGTTTTCCAATTTAATAAGTTGTTCAAAATCTGCGATACGAAATTTAACAAAAAGAAAATAAAACCGCTTCAAATACCCAAATCAAAACTGACTTTTCTGTTGCCCGCGGCCTCTGCTTGCAGAAATTTTTTATTGTGACGGAAATATGGGTGTATACGTGTTTTTATGTAAATGATGAAAAATTTTAGTTTTTAAGTTATCAATTTTTTAACACATATATCTCACAATTTGTATAGTGGCATATTGTGTACCACTGGTGTGCCGGTCACATTGAAAAATCTCTCATCTGCCTGCTCGCTCGCTTTCTCTGTTTCTCAGTCGGTCAGTTCTCTCACTTTCTCTCTAAAATTCAGTTTTCTAATTTTTGAAAGAAAGCAAATACCCAGATTAATCAAATATTGATTCAGTCTTTTGATTTTTTATATTGTCCTTTGCCTGTTTTTGTGCTTTTTTTCTTTTTCCTTTTTCCAATTGGGAATATTTTGTATCTTTGAGGATTATCATAGAAGTTTTTATCTTTTTCTGTTTGATTCCTGAGAAAACGAACGAAAACAATTGTTTGTTAATGCTTATGGTAATTTTCAGTCTGTAGTTTGATTTTTCATGATACAATGTCTTCTACTTTATTAGTATTTTCATATTCTTTGTACCGTCACCAAGTTAGGTTATTGTTCGCTTGATTCGTTCAGTGGTTTGTGTGCCGAAGATTTTACAAACTACATTAGGAATGAACGGAAAAATGAAGTCGTGTAAAACCGCACATTGTTTTTTCTTATTGTATGTAGTACTGTCCTTGTTAGTGCTTACCCAATTTTTAAGCTTCTTTAATATATTTGCTACTTATATTGTATCATTAGGTGCTTTAATATAAAGAAAACTAACGAAAAGTTCAAAAAAACATTAGTTTTAATGAAAAAAGACAAATAAAGGTGTAGTGAATAGTATCTGGGAAATGTAAAAATTTGGTTTTTCGTTAAAAATGAACAGTACCGCGAGTGTGTTAATGAATGATGGGTATGACAATGATCCATGAGATTCATATATGCACCTTCACAACAATTCATGCCCAATTTCGGTTTCTGTTTGAATATTTTGTGCTCACTTTCTTCCTTATAAAAATACCTGCAAGTATTCGATTTTGACATTGTATGATAGTTATTTACAAATATTTATTTACAGAGACACAGTTATGGCCTTGAGAACAGTGACGAGGAAGTCAGGGAGTAAACTATTACCCAGGTTTTCTCCTGCTGCTCTATTGCATTCACATGCTACAAGCTTTGGTTAGTCCCTCTCTCCGCTTACGCTCACTTTGTGTGTGCATGAACGTGTGTAGATTTCAATGTGTATTGATTTTATTGTTAAATAGGACGTAGTGGTTAGTGTGTTGTGTACAGAATATGAATGCTGAACCCGTTAGAAACGCCTAATATTTTGGTGTATCACGAATAGTTTTATACAAATCATTAGCTTGGTTCATTTGGCGGATAATTTATAGTCGTTAAGTGTTTCTTGTGCAGGATTTAAAGAAGTAAGGGAAGAGGAAAAAAGTCGAATGGTTGGTAATGTCTTCAGCAATGTTGCTTCGAACTATGATCTAATGAATGATGTGATGAGTGGAGGATTACACAGATTATGGAAGGATAGGTAAACCTATTGAAGATTTACCTTAATGCGTTATTCTTTTCCCTCTGTTTATTTTCTTTTATAGACGAGCGTATTGTTAGCACCGTGACTTTTTCCGCTGCTCTATACAATGCCCGATCTCTTTTCAGATTAGTTTCCAAACTGAATCCTTTCCCTGGAATGAAGCATCTTGATGTGGCTGGTGGGACAGGTAAAGTTCGTGACATGCAATCCAGTTTGAATTTTTATACGTCCAACTTTTGCATACTGTTGGTTACCTGTGCTCAGCTTTGGGCATTTTAATAGAAAGTTACATGGCTATCATAATGTTAGATCCCACATCGCCGGGTGAGGATCCTCTATGCCTTATATGTACATGCTCATCTCCTTTAGCACGAGGCTTTTTGGGAACTCACTGGCTTTGGGTTCCATCGGAACTCCGAATTTAAGCGAGTTCGGACGAGAGCATTCCCAGAATGGGTGACCCCCTGGGAAGTTCTCGTGTGAGTTCCCAGAAACAAAACCGTAAGGGCGTGGTCGAGGCCCAAAGCTGACAATATCTTACTACGGCAGAGACGGGGCCGGGATGTGACACATAAAGTATGAGATCCAGTTTGGGTTGGGACACCATCCCATGATTCCCATCATATATTATGGAGTGGAAGGTGATCTTGCAGGTGTGTTACCTGCTCATGCTGGAGTGCATCTGCCAGATGGAAAAATAAATAACATAATTTCATAGGACAGTTTGTTTCCTTGTCTGAAACAGTACAGAAATCAATTCTTCTCGTTGTGTATGTCAATCTTACTGGTAATTTTATTTTGTCAGGTGATGTTGCCTTCAGAATACTAGACTCAGTAAACAGCATCAGACGTAGAGCTATGCAAGATGTTCTCGAAGATGATATACGAGAAGAAACTAAGATTTATGTATGTGACATAAACCCTAACATGTTGAATGTTGGTAAAAAGCGGGCGTTGGAGAGAGGTCAGATAATGCTGTGAGTTTGACTTAGGTTGCATTAGGCATTCTGCTAAGATATTGGACAAACAAATTCTACTTTTGTTTATAAATGTACAATCGTGTATTGAAACTTACAGGTATTGGAGAAGACAAATCCCTTCTATGGGTGGAGGGAGACGCAGAAGCCTTGTCTTTTGGAGATAATACAATGGATGGTTACACAATTGCATTTGGAATTAGGAATGTTACACACATAGAGAAAGTGTTGTCTGAGGCCTATCGGTAAGGTGGTCAAACCTCTGCACTGGTTAACAAATACTAACAATTAATAATAATGCAAGGCAAGTTATCATGATGGAAAATTGGTAAATGATCTCTCTAAATAGGCTAGCACTCCTTACGTATGAAGAATTCAATGGTTTTTACTCATTCTATCAACTGTTGAATAAGTAACTTATTTCAATTAGTTTTAAGCACGTCACCTGTAGTATTTTCATTTTTGTTTTTGCGTTGATAGCGCTAGAATACAGCTTGAGTTGTTAAATTGTCCATCCTTGTGACTGCTATTTTGGTTTTCTCAAATTAGTTATTCTCATGCGGAAGCTTTTAAGGTGGAGGAGAGGATTGTGAGACATGCCAATTTCCTCCTTAATGTCTCTGTCAGATGTTATAGGCAACAAGGCACACTTACAAACATTTTTCCGACTCTATTCCCTGCTTTTCCATAAAGAACAATAGAAATATGTAAATTGTTTCCATTACCTTTGGTATATGGATGTGTTCCCTTCTAAACAATTATGCAGATGCGCTAAAACTGACACACACGATGAGCCAATATCTAGAGCTACAGTAGGTAGACAGAACCAGGTGAAAACCTGAATAATTTTTTAGTATGATGTGCACATGCAGTTCTAAAGAACCAACTTTGAAGCTAAAAAGGTGATATATGCCTTAGGGGATTAACAGTAAGATGAAACTAACAGTATATAACTTGACCAAAATGAAACTAGAGGTATATAACTGACTTGTACCGATACCACTGATACATATAGGAAAACCTGTGAAACAATCTTCTTCGAGGGCGTTTCTACAGCTCAATCCATCTAAAAACTTCTCGGCCTTCATGATATAAGCTTTTGTGCCAATGTTAAGTTATGCTGGTCATTTTGATTATTAATAGGCTGTTGTGTATTTTTGCGGGAAGAGGCATTAAAGTAGTTTGTCAAATTGTTACACTAATCATGTTTGCTCTTTATGATTTTGTTAATAGAGTGCTAAAGCGCGGAGGAAGGTTCCTGTGCCTTGAACTGAGCCATGTAGACATTCCTGTATTCAAAGAATTGTAAGTATTTGACACTTTTAGTTGGTTAAATTTGCAATTTCTAACCTACGAGGGAATCTCTTTTGAGTTATCACTGACATCATCATGTCTGTATCTGTACGGGAAATATTATAGATTCATGGTCTGCTGCATAGATATTTTTTGTTACGAAAGTATAACGTTAATCCAGCTGCTTGAATTCAATAGCTAAAAAATAAGTGGAGTTCGCCCTTTGCTCCAAATGTTATGTTGAAGTTCCTTATCCCAGGAAAAAAAACAAGGAAAGACAAATGCTCCATTGAATTTGACTTTAATTGGATTTTTCTGTTGTCATAAGCACCATACGCTTCTAGCTGCACACTGGCATGAGCGTGTAGTGTCAATTGATATGCACACAAGTGTTACTGTGCACTCCAGCTTAGTGGAAAATCTTTTACTATAGAGATTTGAGTCATTGGCAAAGATTGTTATGGCGGGCAACGGTGCATACCATTTGATGGACCCTTGCTTTCTTTCTTGTGTATTTCTTTTAGTCGTGTAATTAAGGTTTCCTCAATTCCTCGTGCAGCTATGATTTTTACTCATTCTCAGTCATTCCAGCCCTGGGAGAGCTCGTTGCAGGGGATAGAAAATCATACCAGTACTTGGTAGAGAGTATTGGTCGTTTCCCCCCACAGGTTTTGTTTTCAGATTCCATACTTGAATACTCTATTTTCGTATTATCCGCATTTTGATTGGTCCTGCTCGTACTTCTTGCTTGTAAATTTTCTTATATTCCCTTACATTTCATCTTATGTACTGATTGCAGGAGAAGTTTGCTTCGATGATTGCGGATGCAGGATTCCAGCAGGTTGAATACGAGAACCTTGTTGGAGGTGTAGTTGCTATTCATTCGGGGTTGAAAGTTTAGTACCGTTTTTAAGTATTTGGATCCCGAAAATTCTCAAAAGCACCTGTTTGAACAATTTTGGCATTGAGCTTTTTGTTTTACCTCTCTGTAATCACCTTTAAGAAATTAAATAAGTGAAATAAGTAATGTTTTGTATGTAAGTCTCAGATCAACTCATGCTCAAAACAATCAATGAGACTTGTGTAACCCTCAAACTGACAAACGAATGCCGCGGCACAAGGGGCAGCAACTACTGCCACGACAAAGGCGCGGCATTCAAGTGGTAGCAACTACTGCCACGACAAAGGAACGCCGGTTGTCATTGGAACCAATGATCTCTACCATCCCCAGTTTAGTATTTTGCAGAATTTCTTTCGTTTCTTTCTCTGTAGATTTGAAGTTTGTGATTTGTAAGAATTTTTTACTGATTGAAAAGAACATTTATGTAAAGAGAGAAACCTCGAGTACAACTATTTTCAGTACAATCAAAGAGTAAAACATTTCTAGCAATAGCGGGTAAGGACCTATCCCATATATAAGTATCATGAATGGAGTGCCGTACACGAGTAATGACATTAGTTGGGAAATTTGCCTCTCTAGAAATATGAGTCCAAGAATATAGAAGAAAAGGATCGTGCAAGTAATCTAATGTCCTCAAGAATAGTGTTCAATCGCCAAGGCGTTATGCACTTGTTGAAAACAGATTCAATAATGAGTTTGGAGTCACCTTCGACACAGACATCCTTGAAACCTTTGACTTTTGCAGACTTTAGGGTATCACATAAGACAAGTGATGGTGCTTCAGCAGCAGCAGATGTAGGATTCTCTCCAAGGTTGCGCGCCCCGGCCAAATCATAGGCAGCATCACGCTCACCAATTCCTCTTCCAGTTGTGTTGAATCTGCATCTTTCACAAATATTGACTTGTATGATTGTACCAAGAGTCGAACGAAGAAAATGTTTCAAGTCATATTATTATTGCAAGCTGTCAAGACCCGACTTGTCCTTAAGGTTGCATTGCATGGAAATTAGTCCAATATCAATGCTGGACCGGTTATTTTATTAGAAAAATTTAGACAGGACATTTTAACCGTTGAATCTATTATAAATAGGTGAAAGAGAGAGGGGGAACCTTTGCTAAAGGTTGAAGTGGAACGAGATCAGAGTATCACATTGTCTTGTTATCTTTACTTGTTTTGGATATGGGAGATGGATGCGAGAGAGAGAGAGATAGAGAGAACCTTTTTTTGCTAGAGGTTGAAGTGGAATGAGATCAAAGTATCGCACTGTCTTGGTGTCTTTACTTATTTTGGATTTGGGAGATGAATATGAAAGAAAAAGGGTGAAAGAGACTCGTATAATGTGTTTCACCATTGTTTGCGCTTTTGTTGTTCACAAGAGGGAACTGAGGCTGAGTTTTCAATCGGCGTCTGGGGTCTCAAAGTTACACCTTTATATAGGAAAGTTCACCGAGAAAACATATACAACCTTACAAAGTCATGAGCAAAAATACTGTAGTCAAATAGTAAGAACTATTTACCCTATGCAACAATCTTCAATGAATAGTGAAGACTCACATGGCAATTGCACTTTTTGCTCATCTTTCCTAGATGTGGATTGTCTGCCCTCTCATTTTCATATTCTTCTTATCCCCTTATGTTTGTGTGATCACGGTTAAGCCACGTTAACATTTTATATTGATTTTTTTATAAAAAAAAAAAAAGTAATAGGAATATAAAATGTTGACGTGGCTTAACCGTGACCACACAAAACAAGAGGGGATGAGAAGAGTATGAAAATGGGAGGGGACAATCCACCTCCATCTTTCCTTTGATCACTCTGTTTTTTCTGTGTGGGTCTAATTGAATTGACTACAACAGGTCATGAATGCCATTATAAATAAGCCCTAGAAGTGGATTATAATATGTACACAAAAATTTCGACCAAAAAAAAAATATATATGTACACGAAATTAAACTAAAATTATTAGAGGAGAAAAGTTATTTTTGAGTTAAAATCTAAATTTTTTTATATAATACAATCGTGGATGTGGACTTAACCATAATTAAATTTTCAAAATTATTAATGCTCATAAAAATTGAACATAATACCTTTTAATTAGGCTTAAATGTCAAAATGGCCATTGTGTTTTACTCTATCGACCAATTTAGTTCCTGTGTTTTCAATTTAGTCAAATTGGTCCATGTGTTTACATTCGTTAGCCAGTTCAAGACAATCAGGTAAAAGACACTTAAAATTGACATGTCCTAAATCGCATTTATACTCAAGTGAATTGAACGAAACGTCAATTTCGAAAGATAGGTATCGTATCTGTTTAGTAAGTGTACATAAAATTAAGTTTTTGTCCTCTCATGTGCCTGACACATGTCAATTCTAACGGTCTTTTAATGGATTGTCTTGAATTAGCTAATGGATGTAAACACAGAGATCAATTTGGCCATATTGAAAACACAGAGACAAAATTGGCCGATAGAGTAAAATACGAAGACCATTTTGACATCTAAGCCTTTTAATTATAAATAAAAAGATGCCTACACTGTACGTGCCTCCACTAGCATTTTCCAAATTTTCTTTTATTTGATACGTTTGAACTTATAACACCAAACGGATAACTTTAATGGGAAGAAAAAAAAATAGAAATAAATGAGATATGAACAAGAGAGCAGGGTTGAGAGTGTGATATTTGAGAAGTGCAAATATTGACAATTAGAGACATTTGGGACAAAGTGGTGTACTAGCTGGCGACAAAGACTTTTATTTGATACGTTTGAACTTATTCACTCTGCAAGTCCTGTATCTTTGTTCTTCTCTCCCACCCTTTTTTGTCTGTGCGGTTCGAGTGAATAAGGTATCCCCCTCCAAAAAAAAATGAGCCAAGGACAGTGGTGGCCCCAGCTCCTACGCGTGAACGTGACTACGAGAAATTTTTAGGTGTTCCCGTCACCCTACATCACCATAGACACTTGGTGTACCCATCAAATCAGGGGATGCCACGTTTCCCATTAAAAAATCTTTCTGATTTATTTTTTAAGAAAATCAATTAAACAAACACTTTAATGGGAAACGTGGCACCCTCTGATTGGATGGGTACACCAAGTGTGATGGTGATGTGGGGTGACGGGAACATCTAAAAATTTCTCCTTTTTGTGATCCAACAAATGGAAATGATGGGCTTTGGTTGGTTCAACGGCCGAGCGGCTGAAATCGAATATGAAAAAAGTTCTAACGTCTCAAAATCAAATTCAACGGCTAAAACATTTAAAAAAAAATTATTTAAATCAAAATTCTAGCAAAAACTTCACAAATACCTATGTATTTGTTCAAATATCCATACAAAATTCACTTTCCTCATACTATTCTTCCATTTTTTTTTCTACTCACTTCCAAAATTTTCAATATGGCAAAATATCATATTAAAGGGAGGACCCTTACAAGATGGCATTCAATTTTGAGCTCTAATATGCAGAGGAGAGGTGGTAGATTTCCTGGAGGTTTGAGCTCTAATATGCAGAGGAGAGGTGGTAGATTTCCTGGAGGCCCTAAATTTCAGAGGCAGAGGGATTTTGGTGGTTCAGGTGCCCCTTTATGCCGCAGATGTAATAATAGGCATTTTGGGGAGTATAAGAGAGGCAGCAGTGCATGCTATACTTGTGGACAGATGGGGCATAGAGCTGTACATTGCCCTTAGAATCAGCAGAGGCCCCAACAGCCTCTCTTACCACCGTCTGCGCTGATCCAGCAAACTTCAGGACCTAGCGGTTATGCCCAGACTGGACGAGGAGGTGCTTATCACTATCAGGGCGACGCCGCTCCTTATGCTTCAGGGCAGTATCAGTACTCGCAAGATCTTCATTATCAGGGTGGTTACCCTCAATATCAGGGAAGTTCTATGTCATATCAGCCACATCCAGCAGGTGGATCCTAGTGGTACCAAGGGGGACAGCCCCAGCATGTAGATGTTGCTGCTAGCAGTGCAGGATCGTTGAGGCAGTCTGGTCAGCCAAGACAAGGACGAGGTATTCATGCTAACAGAGGTCGTGGTGGACGACAACAGGCTCAGGAACGTATCCACAATATGACACTGCAAGATGCTCAGAACAATCCTGATTTAATCATGGGTACGTTAAATATTCTTGGTCATTTTGCTAAAGTATTGATTGATTGTGGTGCTATACATTCTGTTGTTTCTCATACATTTGCTCAAGTGACGCAACCTCATCCTACACCTCTAGGATATGATTTAGAGTTTTCTATGCCTAGAGGGGAGATATGTTATGTTGATCAGGTATATCCAGGATGCCCAGTGATGGTAGAGGATGTAGTTATGCCAGCTAACCTTATTCGGTTAGACATTGTGGATTTTGATGTGATTTTGGGCACTTATTGGTTACACTACAATCGTGCCAAGATAGATAGCTACGGAAAAATGGTTACTTTTCATCGTCCTGAATTATCTGAAGTCACATTTGTGGGAGAGCCTAGTGGGGTGAGGCATTGTGTTATTTCTGCCATGAAAGCCAAAAGATTGTTGTCGAAAGGTTGTCAGGGATATTTGGCTCATGTGGTGTTGAATGATAATGCTCCTATTAGTGTGGATGATGTACGTGTGGTCAGTCATTTTCCGGATGTGTTCCTTGATGATTTGTCTGGATTGCCGCCAGACAGAGATGTGGAGTTCGCTATTGATTTACTTCCAGGTACGAATCCTATATCTTTGACTCCATATAGAATGGCTCCTGCCGAATTGAGGGAATTGAAAGTTCAGTTGCAAGAATTAGTGGATAAAGGTTTTATTCAACCTAGTACTTCACCCTGGGGAGCTCTAGTTTTGTTTGTGAGGAAGAAAGACGGAACTTTAAGGTTGTGCATTGATTACAGGCAATTGAATCGGGTAACAATTAAGAACCGTTATCTGTTACCTCGTATAGATGATTTGTTTGATCAACTCCGAGGTGCCTGTGTGTTCTCTAAGATTGACTTGAGGTCTGGTTACTACCAGTTGAAGATTAGAATTAAAGATGTCCCGAAAACAGCATTCAGGACTCGATATGGTCATTATGAGTTTCTAGTAATGCCATTCGGATTAACTAATGTTCCAGCAGCTTTCATGGATTTAATGAATCGTGTATTCTAGCCGTATT